TATCAATAAAAGACAATAAGGAATTATAGTAACCTTCAACATTTAACAACCCCACCTGCATAATTAGATTTAGATTCGATTAGTAGTTAATTAAGTAACTATATAAATGATAAAGCGGCCTTCTTTGGACCAACATTTTCATTATTCTAATGCTTAAGAAGCTCTTTTCTTGCCATTTAAACAGGATCATGAAGCATGACGATGGTTAGAACGTGCATATCTTGTATAATCTTTCCATGTGAACATAAATTAAAGACCACGTGCTTCGATTCTTTTTCCAGTTTCGTTGTTATTTTGATAAAAGATTGTTGACTGGAATGTAGAACCCCAGCAGGAAAAATTCTTTAAGTACGAGAAGAAACTCTAAAATAAGGTATGTCGTGGAAAAGGTAACACAAAATGAATTTCTTGTGTTGGTTAGAGTATTATCAAGTTTCAATTTCAAATGTAAGGGCATAAGAGTTGAAATCATAAAAGTTAGAAATGTCCAAATGGTAAACGATGTGTAGCTAAAAAATGTATAGAAAATGACTAGACGCTTATTGTACTACAACAACAAACCGAATGTAATCTCATATGTGGGGAACTAGACGCTTAATGTGGAATAACAAAAGTACACTAAGGAATGATTTTGGATTTTTGGTCAAAAGATAAGAGCTCAAGCTATGACCATCTTCACAAGAAAGATTTAATCAAGTCCTTGATTTCTTTTAAATTCAAAGGGACATTTAGTGTCAAACTTTGCGTCATTAAATACTAATTTTGCATATTTCTTACTTGAGTATACGCTTAAAGGTGATTCCATATATGAGAATGTTTCATTTAGACCTCAGTCAAGACCTACCAACATTATTTTCACATTAAATTGTTCAATCACTTCCATATTCAAGTATTCTATCTGGTGCATATTTCTCTACGTAAAGTAATGCGAATAAAAGTGCAGATGTCTCACTGGTTTCTGGTGGATTCCAAGCTGAGCCCATGTAATGACTTCAAGAAGTTCTTCAAGGGTGCCATAACCACCTGAAAATGAGACAGTAGAACACCGATTCATTATAAAAATTAGATGGCACTACAGTTTACGACAAGAATCCTACAGTAATAGGCAATGTTGCTCGGATTCTCAGAAAATATTGCCCGGAGCGTGTCGTATCCTCCAAAAGTAGTGCATTTTTTGAGGATTTGACACGGGTGCAACAACATTTTGGAGAATCCACGTAACATAGGTAATAAATATGCTAATAGTAGCAATTAAACAAGGGAAAAACAGAAATTATGATGCTTTACCAGGGAGGGCAATGAAGGCATCAGCTTGCCGGGCCATCTCGGCCTTCCTTTGATGCATACCGGACACTGCTCTCACTTCTCCAATAGTTTCACCAGTTAACTGTTAGAACATTCAGAACCACAGTTTATAGACATTTTAGTATGGTTAAACATGAAATGAACTCATTAAAAGTTTCTTCAGAGTTATTTTGAGTAGTACCTCTCTAGGCATAAGAGTCTTTGGAATCACTCTGCAATAGACAACCATTTACATTACATTAATAATAGTCAAAATATGACAACTAACTGCTAAATGTATGGTAAAATCTCAACATAATAGAGTAGTAAGAAATAGTAGTTAACTGGACCACAAACTGATAAGTGATAACATGTATGGTAAGTAACTAGTTCCACAAGTGACGTACCAGTGTAAAAAAATATACGATTAAATGAAGAGAAAGAGAGGTTGGCTAATTACCCAAGAACATGGCGGCCGCCATCATGAACAGCCTGAGAAACAAGACCCATGAGACCAATGCTTCCACCTCCATACACTAAATCTATCCTTCTCTCCACCTTCCACAACGTAATCAAACCATTTATTAGCACTTCTCAATCATCATATTAAAGCAAAAAAATAAAAACGTATAATGAGAGGCCACAACAACATACATATGCTACTTTAGTGTTCAATATTAAATCAGAAACTGCAACTTCCCACAAAACCAGTTCTAGAACAAAGAAAGGTGTATTACTAATATCATATATATTCCACATGCATGTGCATATTCTAAATGCACTAAAAATGTTTAGATCGACAAAATTAAAGAAGAAAACACAAATGAAAAGAGTCATGATAACAAGATGCCACGTTCTGTTCCCCCATTGAAAGACAGTGGAATTTTCCAAGGACTGAAACCATAAAAACTATAAGATCATGCAACAACACTGCTTAACTTACAGACAGTCTACAGCTAGCAATTATTTTATTTTATTTTCCCCCTCCATTCTTTCTCTCATGCCAAACAGAAAGAAAAAAACCCTAAACATTTCCTGCCTATTCTCCCTCACAACAACATACCCACCTAGAAAGTTCGACAGGTGTTTGGGAAAGAAAATGTGAAAATAAATTAAACAAAAAGAATACAACAATAGAAACAAAAGATTGACTTTTTAACATAAATCAACGCTTAAGGAAAACTTCTATTTGAGTTTTGTTAAAAATGGAAAAACAGACTGTAAAAGTTGGAAAGGAAGAAGGGTTACAAAATCATACTATTTTTTTCCATAAAAAGCACAAAACTTTCTGCTTCTGGAAACAGAAATAAAGAAGAAAAGAAAATAACAAAGGCTTAAAAATCGTAGTTTTTTCATGAAAAGCACAGAAATTTCTGCTTCTGAAAAAAGAAAAAATGGAAGGGCTTAAAAATCAAAGCTTTTCTTAAAAAAAGCACAAAAATAGAGAAAAAAAATGGAGAAGAAAAAGGTTAAAAATAGTTACCAGCTCTTTACCCAAGTCAATAGCAGCTTCTTGATAGCTACTTTTCTTTCCAGAACTGCTTCCACAGAATACACAAATCCTCTTAAACTTTGATCTTCTTTCTTCCTCCATTCTTTTTATTTTTTCAAGTCTTTTTATATAATTTTTATCTCTATATATATGTACTCCTAATATTTTTACGTGACTAATAATGAGACCAAAAGGGAACAAGAGAAGAAGAAAGGATATTGGGAAATGGGAATGAGAGGAGAAGAAGCTGCAATTTTCCTTTTAGGCCTCAATAGGGAAAAAGGACTACTACTTATAGGCACTTGTTCAGCTGAGCGCTCAAATATAAAATATTTACCTGTTTTTCTTTTTGTCTAAACATTTTGTATTAATATAGAAGTATATCTTACAAATTCCGCTATCCTTTTTTTTTATTGCTCGCACAATGTACATTCTCCTTATTTGTTGGACTATTTCATTTCTTGTTGGCTTCCTTATAATTTTTTTTTTGGCTTCTTTTAAACAAAAAGTTTGGTGTAGAATGTAGATGCAATAGAATATTAAGTCCGTAATTCTCTCTTTCAGGGAAAAAAACAAACATAATCATTTTAACTGAAAAAAATTAAAAATGTTAAGTTTTTTAGATATTCCAAACATGAATTCTTGCACAAACCCTCGATTATACTTGCAACAGAGGTTGTAACACAACGTTATGTGAAAAGGCTATTTATTTCACTGCTTTACGTCATATGCAAGAATTTTATAGCCCGTTTGGCCAAGCTTCTTTTTGGTCAAGTGCTTTTTTTTTTTTTGCAATTTGAGGTGTTTGGCCAAGCTTTTGGAAGGAAAAAAAGTATTTTTGAGGAGAAGCAGAAAAAAGTAACTTCTTTCCAAAAGCACTTTTTCGAGAAGCACTTTTGAGAAAAATACACTTAGAAACAGTTTTTTAAAGCTTGGCCAAACACTAATTGCTGCTCAGAAGCGCTTTTCAAACTAATTAGTCAAACACAAACTGCTTCTCACCAAAATTACTTTTGAGAAAAACACTTTTAAAAAAAGCACTTCTCAACGTAAGCTGATTTTTGCAGCTTGACAAAACGGGCTATTACACTTCTTAGTTACTATTCATAAACTTTTATTTAACACTAGTTTTTTGGAATTTTTACATTCCTATGCCACATAGGAAACTTTATTACCCTCAATGTTTAAGGTTTGACTTAATTACACTTAGTATACCAAATTATCAATTCTATACCATAGTGTATTTTAACCTAAAAAGCTAGCATCCTTACCTTGAGCAGTTTTTGTTAACATATTAAAATATGTCACCTAATTGAGTCCAACTCACAAATTTTTTTATGATACAGATTGTTTGAAAATATGCATAAAATCATAATCATTTAAAACCAACGGCGAGTAAATTTTTGCACTTAACATGGTTTTAGGAATAAATGGCGAGCAACTTGTTGGTACTAGTCAAATTACACAAAGCGTGTGAAAAACTTTAATTTTGTCAGTTAACAAAAGCTGAATTCAATTAAATTTTGCTATCTATCTAATACAGATTGTCAAGCATATTTGGATCGTGCAAATATGTTAAATTAAATTAACATGCATTCACCTGCCGCTAGCATTCAAATATATTCTGCCTGTTGACACAAAAGCATAAATCTAACCTGCTAGTGTGTGGGATTGCGGTTCGATTGTAGCTTGTAGCTTAATTGGTATTTTCGACATTGGTACAATTTCTCATCCAATTGTAGCTTAATTGGTATGTTCGACATAATTGCATTTTTTGCAGAAGATTTGTAGAAGTTTTAGTCGTTTTTGATTTGTGAAAACAGAAAACAAAGCATCTACAATCAGAATACAAATAATCTACAATTTATCTACAAAATAGGTACATTGAATTTTAACATCCCAATTCCCATTCAATTGTAGCTTAATTGGTATTTTCGGCATAGTTGCATTTTTTGCAGAAGATTTTGTAGAAGTTTTAGTCGTTTTTTATTTGTGAAAACAGAAAACAAAGCATCTGCAATTAGAATACAAATCATCTACAATTTATCTACAAAATATCTACAAACTGGGTACATTGAATTTTTATATCTCAATTCTCATTCAATTGTAGCATAATTGTGATTTTTGACATATTTGCGTTTTTTCAGAAGATTTGTAGAAGTTTTAGCCGTTTTTTATTTGTGAAAACAGAAAATAAAGTATCTACAATCAGAATACAAATAATACAATTTATCTACAACTTTTGCAATATGTCTTCTTCTTCTTCTTCTTCTTCTTCTTCTTCTTCTTCTTCTTCTTCTTCTTCTTCTTCTTCTTCTTCTTCTTCACCAATCTGAAATTCAGTCAAAACCAAGTCTAATCTTCACCAAAACTCCTCAAAATTGAGATATAAACTCCAAACCATATTCCCAATTATTTTCAACAACGCCCAATCCAAACAAATAATGATTTTTGAAAACCCAAATTTGAATTCAAAACTTCAAGCTTTTTAATGGCTGTCAATAGTGGAAAATATCTGGAAGAATATTTACTTCCATAATTGTAGCGTGCCTAAATAGGAATATCTGGAAGAATATTTAGTTCCAGATTTGTAGCACGTCTAATTTGGAAGGAATCAGCTCCTAATAATTGGCAATGATCAGCAATTCTTTAATATTTTGCTTATCCGTCTCTCAATTTGTATTTTTAATGGAGATGCTAAGTGAGTTCCTGTGCAAAGAAAGGAGTGGCAAGGTCTTAATAAACTTGTTCAACTACTGTGTAGGTTGTAGGATATGATTTCAATGAGAAGAGATTTAAGCATCTGCATTGGTCTGCAATTGGATTCCCAGAAACAATATTCTTTTATTCACGGACATCATCTTCCCAAACTTCAAGCAAAGTAGCTTTAAAAGGAGAAGCGCTGGTGAGAACACAATTTCAAGAAGAACCTTAAATATATACCATTCATAATTGGTATTTAATTAATGGTGTATATTTTATAGAATAACTGTGAACATGACGGATAAATATGAAACTATGTACATTTTTAGTAATAAGGTTTCATATATGGTATATGAAGGAAAAAGTCTCTAGTTTTTTCCTCTCAAGACCAACCAAACGAGTACTCCCTAGCTCTGTCTTATTTTAGTTGCGGCTTTAGCGCTTTTCACCTCCATTAAGAAAAATAATAGATACAAAAGTATAAATTTTTAAATTATCCTTATTAAATGCTTTTTGAGAATCAACTACTACTTCTTTAATATTAAGAGTATAACTGAAAACAATTGATAAAATTAGTCTTGAAATACTAAAGTGATAATTATTTTGGGACAAATTATTTAGCTAAAACGATAATTAAAATGGGATGGAGGGAGTATAATTCTACGTTTTATATTATATATGGTCAATATCTCCTTTCTTAAATGATTAACAAGCCATAAGTTAAAGTTAAGAAAGCTTACTTAAGAAAGTTGTTAGAATTAGTGTCTTTGTTGATGGAATCAAGGATATTCTTCTGTCTTCATCTCTCCCTTCTTAGCCAAGCAATTGACCATTTCAAACAATTAATCTTAGAATATTTATAATGTCGACAACTCACTAACTTTAGAATAATCTTCATTCGTTTCACAATGATATATAATTATCGAAATATATAGTACAGTTACTTTCGTCCGATATTGAAACTGTTTCCGTAGTATGATAACCCTTTTAAGTTTTTTAAATAGCCAATAGGAAAATGTTTAAATCTAGAATTTTACATGAGAATGCTTTCCTATAAATTCTGGCCGAATCCTTGTACAAAAGAAACTCATAATTTGCCTTATGACGTTACCACTTACGTACCTGAATCTTCTTCAAAATGGCTCACTTTAAGTTGGTAGTTTAGATAAATGAAACAAAAAGTAATATTCTTGTAGAGTTTACTACGTAAAACTAGCATTTAAAATTGACACTTAGCACGATATAATTATCTAAATAAGTTTTTTTAATTAGCATGCAGCTCACATGTAAACCCTCCAAGGGCGCGTCTATTGTTGTTTTATCCAGTTGTATAGTGCTACTTGTTCGTTCAATATTTCTTCATTAGTTAATTAATTGTCCTCTCTTTAATTTGTTAAATTTATAAAGAATATTTATAAGAAAGTTTATGGTAATTATAACAACTTTCCCTTAGTTTAGCTTCTCCTTGAAATCCTACTTTCAACAACATTTCAGTGTTTCGCATCGTCAACAATATTTTAATTTATTGCATATTTGGCTATATTTTTATTTTTTTTTGAAATTATGGTTGTTAGTTAGACCAACATATTTGAAAAAAATTAATTCCTCTGTACAATTTACATGGCATATCTTTTTAAAATAATTTAACTTAAACTTCTTATTTGTCCTAAATGAGAAGTTTTTATACGCACATAAATATTATGACATATTTAGAACTAATTTTTTTTAAATCTAATAGTCACACAAATGTCATTTGACATTATACTGATTAACGAGAAGCGAGGCGGTATTAACGAGAGGTTAGAGATTTGGAGGCAGACCCTAGAATCTAAAGATTTCAAGTTGAGCAGGACTAAGACAAAATACTTGGAGTGCAAGTTCAGTGGTGCAATTCGGGTAGTGGATGAATGGAAAAATCGACGAGGATGTTACACATCGTATTGGGGCGGGGTGGATGAAATAGAGGCTCGCTTCTGGTGTTTTGTGTGATAAGAATGTGCCACCAAAACTTAAATATAAGTTTTATAGAGCGGTGGTCAGATCGACTATGATGTATGGGGCGGAATGTTAGCCAGTCAAGAACTCCCATGTACATAAGGTGAAGGTAGTTGAAATGGGGATGTTGAGATGGATGTGTGAGCATATCAGGTTAGATAGAATTAGAAATGAAGTTATTCGGGACAAGATGGGTGTGGTCCATGTGAAGGACAAAATGCGAGAGGCAAAACTTATATGGTTCGGGCATGTGATAAGAAGAGGCACAGATGTTCCGATGAGGAGGTGCGAGAGGTTGGCCTTGGAGGGTCTGAGGAGAGGTAGAGGCAGGCCAAAAAAATATAGGGGGGAGATGATTAGGCAGGATATGGCCTTGCTCCAGCTTACTAAGGACATGACCATGGATAGGAAGAGATGGAGGTTAAGAATAAAGGTAAAGGTTAGGATAGGTAGCTGAGCGTTCTGTTTGCGTATTGTTGTATCCCTTGACTTCTGTTATTAGTTGTTGTTGCTTTCGTTTCGGAATAGATATTCTCATATAGTACCT